TTAAAAGGTTTCTTAGGTGGTAAATTCAGAAAATTGCTCATTATTTTTATGAGCTGCTTCCAGCCGAGTAAGATCGTTTGTTTTGCTTCTCGTAACAGCTCAAACTACTGAAAATAACGAACAAAAGAATATTTCATTGTCTACAACAGTTATTCTTGCCTTAAGACTGACTAATCAGAAAATATATTAGTTGCTGTTGCTTCGATAATCAAAATTGTCCATCGCTTTTATGTAATTGCTTAAATTCATATCCACTTTGTTTCAATAGCTCTATATATTCCTTTTTTGTTCTTTCTCCAGCATCTGTCGTAAACATTTGTATATCATTTGCTTATACCTCTCAGTTATTTATATCATTCGATAATACCATCGTTTTGACTACCAGTTATGGTCTTCGATTCATAGTTTTTATTTGTAAGGCGAATTGATTTCTCATCATTCCAATCATGAATAATAGATTTCATCATATATGCATCAGCTTTTGGTATTGTTTTTGGTTTAAACATATCCGGAATAAATTGATAACGAGTTTTTTTAATTTGTTTCTCTTTGAGTTTATTAGGTTTCGTCATTGTCGCATTTTCAGTAACATGATCTAAATCAAATCCAATACCGAATAAATGTTGATGTTCTTTTAGTATAATTGATAACAATGTTCCTAAGCTACGACCATCAATATCAACTAATAATTTAAAACGTGAAAACGTAATAATAGTGGCAATCGATGATACTATATAAGTTGAAGATGCAGCCATAGAATTATTGAATAGAATTGAGTATTCTTTGTTTTCCTCTCACTGCAGATAGGCAAATAAACTAGCACGAAATGCTTGCTCGAATCCAGTGCCATTCGTATAACCATTTTGAATTACACCGGGAAGATATCTCGATGAGTTTTCCATAATTGGGCCTAATGCAAAACGAATTAAATCACGTGTTTTTGATGGATGATTACTTGTTGAGAGTAGACCATCGTCTGTTAACTTGAAGTGATTTTCATATTCTGGATTCTGGCTAGTATTTGAATCTTCATCATCCAAGGTTATTGGTTTAACAATATCGACCAGAGAAACTGTTCGTAATCACGGTAAAGAAATTTAATATTCCAATTATTCCCATTTAGTTTACTCAATTTAGCCGCAGCCAAAGGTAAGTCATGACTTGCCATTTGATCGGCAACACTTAGCCCAGCAAATGTCCATAGAGCTTGTTCAAAAGGACGATGGCATATAAAGGATATGAACTTCGATACACTCTAAAAAATAGTCGTAGATTAATAAACTATCAAAAAGAGTTTATTAAGACCAATAAACCTTTTAAAAAACGTTTTTTTATTTTTTATATCTCAAAACTAAAAAGCGTTTGTGACAGATACAAAATGAAAATCGGGCGGTTTTTTATCAAAATTAAAAAATCCTTTTCAGTCTTTTGTCGAGTCTAAAAAACCAGCTAAAAAACTAAGAGCTTTTTAACTCTTTTTTTAATTTACTAAAAGACTAGCTAAAAACTCTTAGTTTTTCAACTATTATCCGTTCGTCTCACTTTACTCCCATTTTGAAGAGGACACCCTGAGCTATCAGTTCATAAGAAAAAAGCAATACAATCCTATTGGAAAATCTTTAAACACGACGACGTAAATTTCCAAAGATCTCCTAGGAAACCTATTTCAAAAAACTCGTCTGAAAATAGTATTGGGTATGAAAACATGCATCCAAGTCTCCTCTTCCGAATGGCGAAAACCGCAGGTCTTCATCTTGTTCGTATCAAAAGTTATTCAAAAAACAACCGAGTGCCTTGACTTCTGGAACGGAGAATAGTTTTTTAGACTCGACAAAAAACTGAAAGGGATTTTTTAATTTTGATAAAAAACCGCCCGTTTTTCATTTTGTATCTGTTACAAACGCTTTTTGGTTTTTTGGATATAAAAAATAGAAAAGCGTTTTTTAAAAGGTTTATTGGTCTTAATAAACTCTTTTTGATAGTTTATTAATCTACGACCTGTTTTAACAAATGGCAACAGAATAGTATTTGTTGTATGCTCAGACGTTATGAGACTTAATTCATAATATAAATAAGCAGAAAAGCCAAAAGTATACATCTCCTCTCGTGTAATTCAAGAACTATGATGATATTATGATCTGCTAGGTAGCACGTTAATCACCCAATTAAACTCAACTTTTTGGACTCGTCGATGCGTTCTGAGATATATTCACACCGTATACTTTAAATAATGAATAAATGTTAGGGGTTTACTATCGATTTGTCTCCAATTGATTTCTCAATTCGTCCCTTCTCATTTCACCCCTTAACATTGTTTTCTTGATTCGTCCCTCATACACACGCATAATCTAAATTATCCGGCTTTTTAATTTATTTAATAAACTTCGTATATTATAGCAAATCGTATATAATAGCAAATTCAAAAGAGATAATAAATTTTAATTTGAATAATAGAACAATTACAATAGAACATCATCTTCCAATTCAGCTAGATGCACGTGGAGCTGAATCTAGATAAATAACCCAAAAATTGGGTCGTTCTGCTTGGGTTCTTTATCCTTTTTTGTGACTGTTTTTTCATGTTCGTACAATGAATTGTAAGCTTTACACGGTCGAAAAAAAGTGTCTTGATAAAGCATTCAGCTGGCTTATAAATGCTTCCACTGTGCGTTTTGGAGGCACTAAGGTGCATTTTCTCATCTTTTACTGTTAGTCGCCTTAATGTCTTCGTAAAAACACCTCTAAATCGCTGCTTTTTTGGAAAAAAAATGCTTAGGTGCATTTGACAGACATCACTAATATATCAAAAACGCACAATGCACTAGCTACAGTCAAGATCCTTAATCGCCCATCAGCCATGGATAAATTACGTAGTGAAATTTAAGGCATTGAAAATGCTACGAGATCCTGGTTAAACACTGAGGCATACTGTTGCTACTTAATATATTTCTAACAGAAACAAATCGATAGATAAAAGTGCTTTAGCTGTATTGTCGTTATTCGGTCGTATTTAGACAGTGTTTTTAGTGGGTTTTAGTTCGTTGTTCATTTATTTGAGAGGATTTTTCTAATCTCTTCGACGGTAATTGTTGATAAATTTCTTGTTCATAATCAAAATGAGCACTCTCTTCTTCTTTCTTGATACTTTCTACCCAGACCCATGTATTTGTACAAAAATCACATATATTGTTTTAATTGTTCTGTTATTCTAATTAAAATTTATTATCTCTTTTGAATTTGCTATTTTGTCTCATTGGGCATTTAGCTTTATTATCTCTTTTGAAATACTAACCCTTTATACCCCCTTGGGTCATTTTTGGCCCATTCGTAGAAAGTTTGCAGAAAATAAAGAAAGCATGAGATTCAAAAACTCCCAAGACAATATTTCTAGGGAACTCCATAAGCTATCGATTGGTAGAAAAAAAT